ACACACACACATTTCTCAAGGCTCGCAACTCCAAAATCACCACCATTTGCTATGATGTAATGTAAGGAATACAAGAATGTGTGTAGGTATTGATAATGAGGGTCCACTGTATTGAGAGTTCAGTGAGGGTCCACTGTATTGAGAGTTCAGTGAGGGTCCACTGTATTGAGAGTTCAGTGAGGGTCCACTGTATTGAGAGTTCAGTGAGGGTCCACTGCATAAGGTGGTGGGAAAGGGAATGAGATGACAGGAAGGGTCGGGAGCATGACCGCATAGCTCGATCCTTTTACCCATTTCAGTTCTCACGCATGACTTCCAGTCTTACAATAACCTATCTCTTGCTCCCATCCTTCTACAGTCTCTATTCACCCACTCACCAACCTCATGGGGGAAAGTTCACACTATGTAGAATGGTGGCGCTATAATAGCCTGCCTGTCTGTCGTTGACACAGGCATCCACAGCCTACACCTGTGTGGCATGTCGTAATCATCCTCAACCAATTCCCACATGGACCACTAGAGAGATTCCTCAGAACAGGCTGATTCTAGCACACACAGACACACCCTTGCTGCAGCTCCGAGACACGGTGGGGAGAGACGGGGCTTTACGCGTAGGTAGTGGGTGTGGCTTGTAGTCATGGCAACAACACTTACCGGGCTACCATTGAGTCCCTGGAGGCGAGGAAGTTGCGCAATCACCAACTCTCGAGAGTTGAGTCCAGACTCACCTGACGTCATGTGACAGTCACGTGAGTCTCACACCACGAGTGACACAATTACCTTCAAAGAGGGGGTTTCCCTTTATCTTTAACTCTCTCAGAGCTGGCATGGAGTCGAGGGCTATGATGGACGACCACTAGAGGTGGAGAGAGGGAGAGAGGAGGGAGGGAAGAGAAGAAGCCAGTGAGGGAGACAGGAGACAAAGACGGGAGAGACACTCAACACGAAACGACACTGTCCTAACAAATAGAAGCTCTGTGTCATGTGTGGTGATATGAGAGCAGGTATGTAGGCGTGACCATTGGAACAGAGCTATAATCCAGCTGCTAACTGCAACCAGTGGAGAGATTGGGATTCCTGGCTACAGGGGAGTCTGTGGTGGTGAAATGGAGCGTGGATGGTCCAGCACACGGCGAAGTACTGCCAGCCATTTGCTGCTACATTAAACTGGCACACCGACAAGTTTACACTGCATACCGGGCACTCGTATGAGAGGCAAAGGGATGGCTTTGGGAGGGTGGGGCAGACAGAAATAGAGGTCCACAATACCGATACAAACAGCTGTGTGTGTTGTGTTAATGTATAAAGTATTTAAGGCTCAAAAATACTAGTGTCGATCTGGTAGCTTGTATATACTGTGGTGCATCGCTACACTGGGATGCATCTATTCCTGTGTCAAACTGTGCTCCATTACAATGACAGCTCATCATGATGCATGCAAGGGTTTGTGGTAAAATGTATACCAGTCTTTGAGGACACCTGAAAAATTCTCAAACTCCTGCAAAATTTTCAGTATAAAATTTTTTTTTAAATCGGTAGCGGTTTACTCTGCAATTTCTGAAATCCGTGCCATCATAAGTCAGTAGCTACAACACGGAAAACTCACGTCGTGTAGGCGATTGCGACATATCGACAAAGACTTCAGCTCCAAGAAACCGGGACTCCGCCCATCTGCCGATAAAAATAACGACATTCACGAGCGAGATACCCGAGCCAATTATCACCACATACCAGTTTCAGGTGAGAAAATCTGAGGAATTTGGTTATCGTTGAGTATGAGAATCTCCAAACTGCACTGGGATATACATAGGTATATACAGTAAAACGTCTGCAAAGAGGAGACCCCTTAATATCGGACATAGATAGTTCTGGTAGAACTGCACAATGAGAGGGAAAGGGAGGAGAGAAGAGGAGAGAAAGGGAGGAAGCACTTGGTGTGGTGAGGAAGAGGGGGAGCGGGGAGAAGGGAGGGGAGACCTGGGTAGTGGAGCGAGATGAAAGACACTGTCCCAGGAGCTCAGCTGGTTCTCTTCCAGAGTGATGAGTCTCAAGGACTGTAGAGGAGGCTGGGAACTGGAGGAAGAGAGGGAGAGAGTGGAGAGAGGGAAAAGAGAGAGGGAGGACAAAGTTAGTCAGCAGGTAGGATGGCTGCACCTGATTTCAGAGATGAGATTCTCGCAGCAGTGGAACCTCTCCAGTCCCGGGAACATGGACACCACCACACACACCTGAGAGACACAGGTAAACAATAACACAAACAACAAACAAACAGGAATGTGGCAAAGCAGTGAATAAGACAGAATCAGCGAAACATTTGCCATTCTGCATGCTGCTTGTGAACGTTACATGAGTTAAAGCAAACATGTAAGACAAGATACTGCATATAGAACTCATATCTTTCGCGAAATTCGATTCTTCCACTCGCCTGAGACCAGGACAGCTGCATTTTGTTCATTGTCAGCTCTTTCACCTGCCGAAATGCCGGGGTTAAAGTACGAGGGTCGCCGGGTACTGAGAGTGCAAAGTTCTCACTGGGGGACCACACGACGAGGGAGGAAAAGACAGAGAAATGGAAAACTGGAGTGTGAGAAGTACGTAGTAGTAATACTGGTAGCAGAGTGTAGTATCCTAGTCTAAACTTTTGAGGGGCAATTCCTCAATTTTGGTGGGTAGGACATGATAATTTTGGAGAAGAGAACACGAAAGTTTAAATTTTGGAATCTAGAACAAATTTTATGGACCCATAAAAAATTTCTTTGTCCCTTCAAAATTTGGTGTACTGGGATCACCTGAGGTTGAGAGAGTGTAGGTGAGTGAGCTGACTGCATATTCCAGCCAGAGTCTCCCAGGATGACAGCAGGTGGTTGGTGGACATGTCCAGTTCTTGGATATCTGACCATTAGAGAGAGAGAGAGTGAGGAGACTAACAAACAGGTACACGTGTAGAGTGAAATGTATTATAGAGGGACTTACTGGGGGCCACTGTAGAAATTTCCCCCGGGGGGCCCACGGAGCTGACCAACATTCCTCTTAGACTGGTACTGACACTGCCCAACTTTGTCAGCTGACTACAGAGAGAGAGAGACAGAGGGTGTACAGAGATATGTCTTGATGTGAATTACTACTAATGAGAGGGACATGCCTGGAATGAGAGCAATTATAACACTTCGGCCGGTAATCATTTCTAACATTACACTGTTTGCTAATCTTATACCATTGATGTCGTTATGCAACAGTACGTAATGCTATAGGCCCCAGCCACCCATAGCAGCAGTCAGACCGGAATCAGCTGAGGCGGCTGACTAGCTGGAGGCTCCACAAATGAAAACATTCCCCGATACCTAGCTCAGCACGGATTCCACCGATGTACACATTCCATGGCAGTAGTGTCATTAGCTCTGCAGTGGTGTGTATAATGTTTCTGTGCCCCACCCAGTTATTGTACACACTCACTGGGAGTGTATAGTGACGTAGTGGACTGCAGCCTATAAAGCATTGCACCACGTACAGCCCACACAACTGTCAAAGTCTCTACTGCCACCGTGACAAGTTTGCTTCAAGTGGTAATATCAGGTAAACCTCTGTGCATAACTTTATTCATTGTCAATGCTACAAGCAAACAGCACCTGATAACAAATTTGCATGTACATTCTGTTAGATCTTGTTAATAGGCATGTTGATTGCATGTACAGAAGGCATGTGCATGTAGATGACAGCTAGTCTAAAACATGGCTTGTGGTTGCTGCATGCAACAGCCTTTATGACTGGGTGTGTAGCAACAACAGAATGCTACCTGAGCCGTAAATTCTTTCCCGTAAAGAGCCTTGAAAGGCTGCCGACTGCCTGTACAGTTTGCACACACTAGAAGCCTGACACCAACTGCTCTTACTGTGTTTGCTCAAATTCCCCAAGCCCTCATCCAGCACCATACAAAAAAACTGGCTCATACGCCTGCACTCCAGTTGCAACAGTAGACACCACGAAGCTGCCAGTAGATCTACAATAGCTAGTGATTGTTGCTGTTTTGACTACTAGGAGAGAGAGAGAGAGAGAGATGGCAAGTGTTCTGGGGTTTGACTTGCAATACCATGGGAAGAATGTAATGGTGACCGGAGGAGGCAAGTCAGCTGCTAAGATCAAAAAGTGAGCTATCAAATATACCTGACAAATATAGCTGAAACACTACAGGGCTCATGCTGTCCTATAATGTATACCTCTCCTCAATACTGTACCAGTACAACTAATAATGTTCAAGTTACTAGCTTTACTTGTCTAGTCAAAGCTACCTACACGTCTCTGTTGTATAAAGCAACTGATCCATGAAATGGTGATTTGTTGGTACAGCATTCTCTCTCGGTACACCTCTGTTGCTTGGTAACTTCTACCAAACTTGCGGTGTAAGGCAATTTGAACTGCTTTGATGCTGGCATTGTACTCGGTTGACCTTTGGGTTACAGCACAACTATAACCATCTGCTCTCTGCCGAGTACAGCATAGTAGACAGTAGTAGACTAGACATCACTACACTACAGAAACATAAAGCACTCAAGCATTATGGTAGATGGCTGCAAGAAATGAAGCGTCGTTAGAAGCTGTCTCCAGTGTAGTGCGGTGTGGTTGGCCGTGTGTGGTGGATTAGGGGAGGGGATGGGGGAGGGGTGGGAGAGAATGGAGGAAAAGGCAATGCAGTCTGCCAGTCATCAGTGACAGGCGTGTCTTCGCCACTTCAATAGTTCTTCTGGCTTGTCAGTTGGATCAGCAAACCCCAGACACATGGGAGTGAGGAGAGCAAGAAGAAAGATGGACCAAGTGCCAGCTGTGAACTCAGCACTACTGACTTGATTTGTCACCCGAACCAACAAAACAAGCAATAGTGATGCTAAGCAACTGAAACAGTTTTGTTAACACAGAGCGAGATGTTCCGTACACAAGATAGTAGGCGGCCTGGTAGCTAGCGAGCTAGGGTGGGGCACCTCAACAAAGATAGTAGGCGGCCTGGTAGCTAGCGAGCTAGGGTGGGGCACCTCAACAAAGATAGTAGGCGGCCTGGTAGCTAGCGAGCTAGGGTGGGGCACCTCAACAAAGATAGTAGGGGCCTGGTAGCTAGCGAGCTAGGGTGGGGCACCTCAACAAAGATAGTAGTGCGGCCTGGTAGCTAGCGAGCTAGGGTGGGGCACCTCAACAAAGATAGTAGGCGGCCTGGTAGCTAGCGAGCTAGGTTGGGGCACCTCAACAAAGAGTCTCGCGTGAAATGCAAAATATTCACACTTTGTAAAAACCATTGCCTCCCCCTTGCCTCCTTGCGTAGACGGCTACTGGTATAGCAGCTTCACTCCCAACTGCTAAGTAAACATAGGCTTAATAGGGGCGTCAATGCATAGCACTTCCTTGTCTCTATAGTTCATTGACACTTGTGAGAATGTGAGGCGGTCTTACTAAGAGAGGGACCCCAAAATCCCTTCTAATTTTCCTCTTGAAATTAGAGGGGTCACCAAATTTATCTTCATTTGGAGTGAGGGACACCCATAATAACATTTTGCTGGAAAGTGATGGGGTTTCTACATTAACCCCTTATGAGTGAGGGACCTTGACAGTTAGAGAGTTCCATTACCCCTTGGGCCCCCTTAACTACACTTAATTTCCCCTGCTGGGGGAGAGGAGTACCTCTTATAGGAGTACCATCTTATAGTGTTACCCACTGAAGTAAGGGGACCCAAATTTACCCCCTCATTGCCCCCCTGCAGGGGTCAGAAGGAGGCGGTGCTGGTGTCCAGCAGAGCGATCTACAACAACGAGCTGTTTGAGGTGGAGCTGGGCAACGAGGCGGAGAGCACCTTCAGCGGAGGAGGCGGAGGGAGTGTGCGGAGGAAGAAGACAACCCCGGGAGCAATCAGGATCGGAGTCACCGGACACAGGTGAGGGGGCGTAGCCAAAGGGGTGTGGTCACAAACTTCGAGATGGCATGCTCTAGACAGTCAGTGCTACTAAATCGCTAAAACACTTTCTTTCCCCAAGAAAAGTTCGATTTAACCCCTGCAATAAGGACACCTCTCTAATATTGACACATTCTTTTGCCCCATTAGTGTCTGGATTAGAGGGGTTCTCAGAATAGGAGTCGCAGTAGGGCTGACTATGGGTATGGGTGGTAAGGACTTGTAAGGACGTGCTTTCCTTCATTGTCCATTGACACGCGGGCTCTGCCAGGCTGTAAATGGATCTACGTAGGTGTGGGAGGCAACAATGGTGCCAGATAACAGGGCAGCCCCATACCACACAGAGGCATGTTGCAAAATTTTCACTGATTGCACTGTAGCAACTCCCCCCCTTCCATACAATTGTAGCACCTCAATATTTGCAACACATAATTTGCGTGGGTAAGTCACAATTTACGAAAATGACATTCCGTGGCATATGCCAAGGGTCGCACTATCCACAAAAATTGTATCGTTTCCGCAAGCTTCAAATTCCGGTCACATCATGAAAATTATGCACCGCGACAAAGTTTAAGTGTCCGCGCCAGGGCAAATGGTATCGACGAAAATATTTCCGCAGATAAGAATACCTGCCAAGCTGTGAAAATCATGGTCCGCGACAATTCAGCACTGTCCCACTAAGTCACCATCTCTCTACTATCTCTCCACCCTCTCTCACTCCTTTTTATCTTCCTCTTCCTTCCCCCTGTCACCCCCAAGGCCGGCAGATCTGTGGCACAACTTCCCGTTGACGATGAAGAAGATGAACAGCGTCACCTGGATGATGTCCGGCCAAGACTATCTAGAGAACGGAGAGGTCGTCACGACGTTCACCAAACACAACCTCAAGGAGCTTCAGGTTAGGAGAGAGAGAGGAGAGAGAGGAGAGAGGGAATTGTAGATATGGACCGCTACCGCTAGTAGCTAGGGCACGTACTTATTCGAACAACGCACAGAGTTAAATCTGCTAGCGTCTGAAAGCCAGATTTCGCAGAAAAACATTTGTTCCCACAAAATTTTTCTGTCTCGTGCTCAAACAATGTCACAAATGTGACGAGCATCACGTGAGTCTGTGCGTTCCTTCCGCTCAGTTTGGTGACAAAGTTGGAGTGATGCGTTGCCCGGAGTTCGAGGGGTCGCTGGTGTTCTACATCAACCAGGAGGTCATCGGGATCATGGCCACCTCCGTACCCGACAAGGTCTTCGCCTTCGTTGAGATGCACGACAACTGCGAGAAGATTACAATCACTCCAGTCCACAGCGTGTCTCAGGTACATACAGATGGAAGAACACTACACGGTCTCTGAGTATATCCTAGACCCCTCTCTGCCTCCTTCCCTCTTACTACCCTCTCCACTTTTACCTCCTTCCCCACCTCCCTCTCACTGTCTCCTTTCTCTTTCCACCTCACTCTCCTCTATATAATATACCGACTCTCTTATCTTGCAGGAGAACCTACCAGTGGAGATCAGGGAGGTCAGAGAGAAAGAGTCGGAAATGCGTCGACACAAGAAGACCATCCAGGAGAAAGAGGAAGTAATTCAAGTCCTTGAGAAGAGAATCGACGAACTCAACACCCAGATCAACACCATGCAGGCCACGTCGAAACCGGGCAAGGGTAAGTCCTCGGCATCTCCTCCGGCCCAGGTCAACGGACAGAGTGAACCAGCAGGACAGGTAGGCACAATATGTGGGAATCCTAGCACATCACCAGCACATCCAAACCCCCAACACTGACTAAACATACTACAGTGGAACTTCTCTATAGGGACACCCTTGAAAATAGTACACCTGATTTCCCCCCATTAAGTTCTTGCATGTAAATTCAATCCCCGAAATAAGGACACCTCACTAATATGGGCAGTTTCTTCTGTCCCATTGGTGTCCTGATGAGAAGGGTTCCACTGTACCAAAGTTCTAATCAGGTTTCTGTTAAGATTTACTCCAGGATTTCCTCACATTGTGCGTACCTCACATTGTGTGAAATGAAAAATGTAAAGTTCTCGCAATTTATGATTTAACCCTCTCCCATGACTAGGGGGTCGAAAGCACAGACGATGGAGGCCCGGCGGCAACTGACTCTGCCCCCTCCTCCCGCCCCCGTCGAAGTGGCTCGAAATGCACAATCATGTGACAGCTGGTATTATCTATCTCACTAGACCGGACACTCGCCATTACACACTTTTATTCACTCACACACGACTTTCAACACCCACGGAAAAGTTTCGAGATTATTTGTTTCCGTACAAAACTGCAAATTTTTTTAAGCCTACTGATAAAATTTGGCAGTACTAGAATAGTATGTCTAATTTTTATATCATGTCTTGTCAAAAATTTTATATCTGCGCATCCCTCCACCCATTTTTTTGTCACTGCTTGAGAATGTTTGATGTATACTACATTATATATTTGATAACTGACCTTGTTTTCTTTTTTATCATATCAGCACCGACCATCTCGACTGGAGTCACAAGGCTGTTACGTGATATTACAAACATATCCTCCTCTCCTTTCCCTCCCCCTCCTCCTCCTCCTCCTCCCCTCTCTGTCGTCTCTGCACTAGTCTCTGCATATCGCTGACAAGAGTTAGACATATTTCAGAATGAAGTGCAGAGTCACACAGTGGAAAATTGGAAAAGAAATGAGGACACCCCTCTAATAAGGACACCTCTTTTCTTCCGAAAAATGATTTCTAGCCCTGAAATAAGGGCACCTCACTATTATGGACACTTTCTTCTGTCCCACTGATGTCAGGATCCACCGTAGCTGTAGATATGTCTCACCTTTCTCAAGGCCTCGATGAAGGAGTAACCCAGAGTTACTTTTCTCGGCCGAACGAAAGACCCACTCCCAGGCTTGCTAGTGGCAGAAAAAAGCATGTCAATCAATTATGTACTCCCTCCTGCCTCTTTATTACTAGTCCCCCACAAGCCAGACCCTCATGTGAGGAGAGGCCCGTCCCTCTTCTCTAGCTCTACCTGCATGTGAAGTACTGGGTTCCTTCATGGTCACCACTGTGCTTCCCTCTGGACGCGTCGTCCCACTCCACTCCCACCCACACTCCTGCACAGCGGAGAGTAGAATACCTATTTGAAGCGCACCTCCTCCCCTAAAATGGAACACACAGAGCTACCTTTTGCAGGCGGCACTTCTCCCACGAAGCGGATGGTAGCGTAGTAACCGTCAAAGCAGCATCGTGCACCCACAACGAACCCCTCTGCAGCGTCGGCGCTCTCCATTGGTAAACGAAGGGGTATACCACCACCAAACGACGTCCGCTGTGCGCATGCGCAATCGATATCGGACAAACTGCTAGCTACTCTCTCTCCTATTAGAGCATGGACCGTAATCTATCCAGCATGGCTGCATGAGTCATAAAAGCGAAAGAGTTTTCTCTGAAGAGCAGATGTCTGGCGAACCAGCCCATGGAGCTCGGTGGGTTGAGGATGTGGAGGTGAAGATGCTGAACTCGCAGGAACGGAGGCCAGTGGAACCCCAGCCTAGAGTCCTCTGGACTGGCCCCCTGCTGAGCCAAAATCTCTCTGGCTATCTCTCCCATCTTCTCCACCATTGCGATGTGCTCTCCTGTTAGCTCTCCTGGGTTTCTGCAGTTTTGGAGATCCAGTTTTTCTGGGTTCTCAATAGTACACTCAATATCTATAGGCTGCGCCAGTAAATTCTGCTTACAATTCTGCCAATATCTAACTTGATGCACTTTGCAGGACAGTTCCCGGACACAGTTCTGCTACCTGATGTGTATCCGGGGAATAAGGAGGTAGTGATGAGTGGCCGCGGGGCTCCGGTCACGGAAACAGACGTAGTCCGAGTCTTCGTAGACAACCTCAGCTCGGTCGTCCTCGGCTGCGATTCGACAAAACACGCAGCTTCCGCTTTCAGCCATGTTCAAGTCTCTCCTCCCTCACGCGCGCGAGCGTGCGAGGGGATACCGAAGCTCCGCCCCCGTACGTTGCCACAGCAACGTCTACACAGACCGCAATCCGCTTACATTGAACTAGAGGGGACGGGCTGATCTTCCAAGATGCTGGCTCGGGCGCGGCTGAAACTGAAGAACACAGAGAGCTCCATCGCCTTCATTCAGGAGCAGCACACGCGGACGCTGGAGGGCTTGCATCAAGAGATCCAACAACTGCAGCAGAAGAATGCGCGTCAGTTACTGACCCTACCTGACGCTCTCATCCATTTTCTTTGTGCAGGTCTGACGTTTGAGCTAGCCGTCCAGGGTACTTCAGCACCTAAGCAAGGTTTGAACTGTCAGCTAGCTAAGCTTTACCGCCAGCGTCTGTTCCCCCAGAGACCTGCAAGCATGCCGACGAGATTCAGGCCTACAAGAGCGAGGTTCATTCACTCCAGACCGCACTCACTACTTGCAAAGAAGAGATAAAGTTTCTGAAGCACAAGTTGATGAGCGTGGAGTCGAATCTTTCTGAGGAGGTGGCTGAGCGTGATGCCCAGATTGGTCACCTTAGTGCAGAAGTGGAGCGGAGAGCACGGATCATTGCCCACTTAACAAAGCAACTCCATCAAATGAGGATGGAGTTCACTCGATTCCTGGAAGATGCCTCCCGTATGCAGAGTGTAACAGTGGCACCGGGACCTGACCACAGCGGTTCTCAGAGGACCGCAACGGTAGAGCCTCCGGCGACAGCGGTCGGTCAAATCAGACGCAGAACCAGACGAGCCACTTCCTCCGCCATTCCCCACAATCCTGACATTCACCAAGAGAAGACAGTGTTACATCGGTCCCTTCCTACTCCTGTTACTCACCACCCCCTCTCCTACTCCCCCTTCTCCGTCTGCCTCCCCGAGGCCTCCTTCCACCTCTCCACCGCCAAGATCAAGACAGAGGTCTGGCAGAGTGCTCCGCAGACCTTCCCAAACTGCCACTACCACCCCTGACAGGTCACCACAGTCTCTCCAAAGACCCTCCACAAACCTCGACCCTGTCAGAATTCAGAAACCCCCTCCAGACATCACCGATATCTTGAGAAACAGTTCCGTCAATTCCACCCCAAATCTCTCCAAAGCTGTAGCACCTATTCTGCCCCCGATCCCGGCAAATCCCAGCCTGCTGGCTCGTCAGCGGAACCCGACACTCGGCTGTCAGAGAAGGAAGAGAAGAGGGAGAGAAGATTGCTGGTGAAAGAGGAGCTGCCCCATGGGAAGAACCAAGCATGGCAGGAGCTCCACCAGAGTGGCTCCGATTAGGACATTTGCCATCAGTTTGTTTGCTGTGGTGTGTACCAAATTACCATGAATGCTGCAGTGTAATGTAGCTATTAATTGATTCACATTCCGTTAACGCTAACGGTCGCGTGAAATAGAGATGTCTTTGGCGAGCGGCGTTTGTGCCGTCTCTGCTCTCATCTGGCTGTGCCTAGGACAAGGTAAAGTACTTACACAACACACAGACGATGCTCGAGACAGCGCAGATAGTATAAGTATATTCGTCCCGTCGGCAGGATACGCGGACAAACCTTGGTGGATAGAGCAAAACCCGAGCTGGTATCTGGAGCACTACGGCACTACTGATGAACAGGAGGTTCCTCAAGGCGCTGAGACGCCAGTTTCGCACTCGAGTCGTCACAGATCGTCCCAAAAGTGCATCATGGCGTCTGTACATTTAGGGGCCTACCCATTGGGGTTCAGAATGGAGGAAGTCAGAGGGTTCACCCTCTTGCCCCTCTTCGACAGTGATCAGTTGTCTGAGGATGCATGCCTGCAGAAGTGCTGCACCCTGGGCCCAACAAAATGCCAGTATCTCTGGTTCATTGAAACATACTGCATCGCAGCTGCCTGTAGGATGTCCTTGCCGTACTACTGTGGATATGCACAGATTCCTCCACATATTCCACATGTTGGGGCTAAATATGTCAGCATTCAGTACAGCTTAGACGTCAGTAGTTGGGAAAATGGGAGAACACTATCTCCACCCACTGCCCCTAACAACCAACCCCCACTCGCTGAGGAGACGACGTCACTATTACATAATGGAAATCAACCTCCCACAGTTGGTGTGATATTGCCGAAGGACGTAGTCACTCAAGATTCAGAGGTTGTCTTGTCTGCACAGCTCAGTGACCACCATCATCAGGTAATCTGACAGTACGCAATGATGTGCCGCAATGATGTACCGCTGGAGTCCTAACCTTGAATATATAGTACAGTCTGTGGTCACCATGAACCCATTGAAGCTTTTCCTGAGAATTACCATCGTATATACACAGGGAGCTGTGGAGTACAGTTGGGAGTTGGTGGCTGCTGATCCTCCTGAGAACAGGAAACGAGTTGTCATTGTATGTATCACTATACTTTCTCTGTATTGGGCTCTCTCCTGAATGTGTGTGTGTTGACAGGTTACTGAGACCTCCACGGCCCATCTCTCTGTACTATCGCCTGGAGTCTACACTGTTCAACTGACAGTGAAGGACTTGGCCACTGGACTGTCGGGCTCTGCTGTAACTACTGTCACCGTCCTACCTGGTGTGTGTGTGTGTGTGTGTGTGCACATGTGTGTCATGGAAATGTTCTACAATTCCACTATCTCTCTCCCCCACAGCTTCAATTATCCCTCCACTTGTTATAGATGTGCCTCACACTTCGCCAAACAGCACAACACCGGCTCAAACATCTACTCTGATAAGACCGACAATGACAGCAAATCCGACAATGACAGCAAATCCTCTACCACACAAGAGCCACTCTCAACCAGACAAGACCAAACCAAGCCGAATCAATCCAACAGTGACCACCACTGCCAAACCCACCTCGGCTCCTTCCCCCGTACCAGCTGAGGCACAGGCATCCAAATCCTCATCTTCGTCGTCTTCTGATACTGACTATAGCCTCTATATGAAGGTTGGAGTACCTGTTCTCTCCATTGTACTGGTCATTCTGACAGCCAGTGGTTGTATCGTGGGTGCTGCCTCCTGTGTCATGTTCCATGGACAGAATGACAAAAAGTGAGGCTCTCAATCAATCATTTACGTAATTGTTTCGTGATCTGTTGATCTTTTGTACAGGAAATACAGGTACCGGAGACTGATCTACACTGATACATGATAGAACCCGCTGCCAACAATCAAATTTATCACATCTCTTGAATCTCCCTTCGATGATTTTACGGCGCATGCGCATAGCAGCCCCACCCCCAATGCTGATCGTGCACTACCTCGTGTGTGTATGTAAGCAAACGTATCTTCGACGTTCCTGCAAGCCGTTCGTTGGGCATACGCCAGGGATGCACCCGCGGAACAGATACAGAGAGCACAAGCCCGATTTTCTCGACCTGGCTCGGCACAGACCGTCTCTCATGCCGTACCTGGTCCGGAAAAAGGCGAGTTCCTCGTCCGAGCCGGCTCCGTATTCCCACACCGTAGACTTCAGTAATCCAGAGGCCCTAAGGTGCATCATAGTTCAAGGACCCAATGTCCATTATCCCTTATCCCTCCTCTGTTGCTGGTATATAGAGAGTTGGCGTGTGCATTGCTATCGAAAGACTTTGGTCTGGAGGTGGTTCTGCCCGAGGACCGGCTGGTTCCCATGGTTCCTCAGAGACTGAACTACATCCACTGGCTGGAAGACCTCCTCATGGAGGAGACGGAGAGGGAGGGAGAGGAGGGAAAGAAAGTGTTGGGAGTTGACATAGGTGAATGCCGTTCTGCAATAAGTGTGGCCGATGTACGTAGCAGGAACAGATTTGGCAATTGGCAAACGCACTAAACTAACATTACAGTGTAGCCTCTCTAATCTGGGATGTAAGAAAGTTGAAGGGTCGATGCATGCAATGAACTGTTCGTGGAGAAAGAGTGTCGTTAGATGAGGTTCCACTGCAGTGAGCTTGTTTGGCCTAGTCTAGCCAAGCTAGAACTCCATGCCTACTGTACTTTAGTTGAAGGATGTGATCTGCAGGTACGGGGGCCTCATGTATCTACCCACTGCTGGGGACGGCGGTGAACGGCTGGCATTTCCTGGCCACAGAGGTCGACGGTGCCTCAGTCCAGAGTGCCTCGGACAACGTGACCAGAAACAACCTCCAGGACAAAATCTCTGGTACAAAACTGAGTACGATAATGTATATCTATTACTCTTCAAAGGTGTATATATAGATATAGAACTGGGATTGAGTTTGGCCATACATTCATGAGAAGTTGGCGCAACCGTCATAATATTAACTTCATATGCTCTTTACTATTGGATAAAGGGATCTATGGCTCAATGATGTTATAGTAGGGGTGAAAGGTGTGGTACAGTATGTGAGATTAAAGGACACTGGATTGGGGAGGCAGGACGTCATTGTATGTGGCCTGCCGGGTAGATATGGAGGTGAAAGGTGTGATACAGTATGTGAGATTAAAGGACACTGGATTGGGGAAGAAGGACGTCATTGTATGTATGTGGCCTGCCGGGTAGATATGGAGGTGAAAGGTGTGGTATGTCAGATTAGAGGACCAGTGTCCTCACACCTGATGCTGCTCTGGGCTCTGTTGTGCCTCCTCTGCATTGGATATCACCAACAGAGGCTCTGCAGCTAATGAACTGACATTTCCTCTTCACAGCAAGTATATATGTCCGTGTGTCCATTGCCTGATCACCCCACCAATACATTACTGTATCAGTGTTCTGTGGGTAATGTGTGGGCTGGACACACCGGAGAATGCATCAGATCTATTAAACCATGCCGCAGTGCCTCGGTACTGTTTCCCCTTCCTGGGGGCACATTTCTCCCACCAGAATATGGTAGTGACTGCATGCCAGCCTGCAGGGAGATCTGTCAAGTCCAGAGTGGCTCTCCAGGCGACTGGCATGTCCACCGGACGCGTGGCATTCCTCGACAGTTTCGTCTCCCTCGTGTTGATCAGTACTTGATTGATACACCACCGTATTGGAAGAGATATGTAACACTTTTCTTCTTCAATCGCAGAAGGCAAGAGGGCAGCCACAAGGCCGTACATTTCGTGGGTGGGGATCATAGTCAATAAGAAATCCATTAACAATATGTGATTCCTGCTGCATTGTAGCCATACGTTTCCCCCTGATTCTGTTTCTGCGGCCTCCCCTGGTACAGTTGTGAAGGTGTCACTGGAGACGGTGCTGATAGGAGCAGTCTGTGAGTCCCAACACTACGACTTTGTCATGTGCAACCCTCCGTTCTACACCGACAAGAAAGACAGGTGTGTGTTTAATGCCAAGTTTCTCATGAACCAGCACTCTTGAAGTTTTGCAGTAACAATTTTGCAGATGTGTATACCTGAGTCAGAAATACGACTACTGAAGGCTGAGCATATATTACAGATTGATCATGAAAATTTATGCACCCCTCAGGAAATTTTGCACTTGTAATAAATCATCTATTGGATGTTGTTATAATTATTATTGTGTGGATCAGGTACGAGGGGAGCCAGCGGACGTCCCACCGACCAGCTCCGCCCACTTTCAGCACGGGGAGTGAGGTGGAGACGATGGTGGAGGGTGGGGAGGTGGAATTTGTGAGGAGAATCATCAGCGACAGCCTCACCCTCCGGACTCAGATCAGGTTTGGCCCAATGGGCTTTGCACAATACTGTTAGATGTGCAACTTCAATTCATTGCAATCTGCAAATTTTGTGGGGCGCCTGTTAAAGCAATACCAACTGATGAAGTTTCCTCCCTCAAAAACATTTCCCATTTCACGTTAGCTATGTACCTATTCTGCAGGTGGTACACGTCAATGTTGGGGAAGAAGGCGAACATGAAGACCATTTGTCAGGAGTTGAAGAAACACCAGGTGATCAAATCTTAAAGTCCTACGTGAGTTTCATAAGTTGTTGATTGGGGCAGGTACCAGTGGTGAGATGGACACAGTTTGTTCAGGGCAAGACGCATCGTTGGGCAGTGGCCTGGACCTTCGCTGACGGCAGGGTGAGCTCAACAGTAGGTATGATGTCATCACATTGAGATTCCTGCTCATCTGTAAATATGCCTCGGAGTGGCTTGACATCCCAGGAGCTAGTGGAGATGACCTCACTCTCTCTCCAGATGTTTGTTGACACACAGGACAAGAGTGTGTGTGTGTTTATGTTGTCAAGAGGCTGTGGTCGCAATGTTGGCCATCTTTGAATCCTTCATCATGATTAGTGTGTAGTGGAGTTAGGTTGCAAGAACTTTGCATAATGAAAGATGCCTCGAAGCATGATCCACTGTGTACAGTATACAACAGCAAATAGAGGCTCTAGTCCTTCAGTGGGGGGTGAACCATCATGAAACTCTATGTTGAAGCCCTGTGGTTATCAGTGTGTTTGACATGCAGGGGGAGGAATCATTGTTTCTTGGTCCCGGCAGGAAGAAGAGTCAGCCACTGGCTCTCTCTGTCCCCCACGAGAGAATGGAGACAGCAGCGAGCGCCGTGGAGAGAGTCCTACATCAGCTGAAAGCCTCTCTCGGGGAACTAAAGGTGATTGATTTAACAACACAGGGTTCTGTGTAGATTCTCCCTATTGTTCTCTAATGCCCAGAATAGTTGGGCACTCTCAGTGTTGGTAGCGTATAGTGTTAGAATTTCTCCCTTAATCTGCCGAGTTAGCACCGACCTAGAGTATAGAGTTGCTGAAAGTACTGCAAGCCAGGCTCACTGCTAATTGAAAATCCACCCTTTGAGGCTGCGCTGCTAATGTCTGTTTACCTTGGCTGGTGTGCTGCACGTTTGTATCCCTGTAGATTGAATTTGAAAGAGAAGCAGTTGAAATGGGAGGAGAGGGAGGGAGGGGTTGCCAGCTGGCTTGCGAGGCTCGCACAAACACTTGGTCGCACCAGAGAAAGAGAAAGAGACTAAAACAGAGATTGGAGGAGCAGGCACAGCAGACAAAACTGCAATCAGGTAAGCCATCTTATCTACCAACCAACACCGCACAATTAAAATTCTTCATAATTCAAGCTGTATTGATGTGTTGTCATCCATGCAGCCTCTGGTTGTATGAAACCTTAGGAAAAGGTAGGCCTCAATATGATTTGCATGCATCCTGAGAATGCCCAAAGATCCTTGTTGAGCTAAATATGGAGTTGGATAAGGTGTTTATGCAGACGCTTGGAATCCAATGTTGCTACTTGGCCTCTTAGCAATTAGCCTCAGACTGAATTCCAGTGACCCTGACTTGCAGCCTGTGCGCCATTATACAAGTGGTATATATGCCTTAAACTGAGGCCCTACCGACATACCCTTGCCTCTATATGGGGCTGTGTACAGTGACTTCATTCTTATGACTCTGGACTTTGCTAATGACGAGCTGCAAAGTCATGTGCGATATTCCTATTGCATAGGTGAGAGTGTTCAAACCCTACAACCAGGGACAGAAGAGGATGGAGGAGGAGGAGGAGGAGGAGGAGGAGGAGGAGGTTTTGAATCCAGAGAAGAAAACGCTGTGAAAGGGAACGAGGTGTGTTCTAGAGGCTAAGGCTGACTCTTTTCCTGGTGCTACTCGAGAAATTGAACAAACGACTGTGGCTAAAGTTGGATCCTCTGATAGTTATGCTAAGCCTACAGCGGCGACTGACAGAGGCTCAGCAACAGAGGACAGAGAAAGCTACCCAGAATCCCGAGTAGGCGACAATGAACAAGAAATCTGGCGGCAAATAGAAGCCCTCAACAGTGCCTGCCACGTCAGATTCAGTTGCACTGTAGCCCCATGTACCAGTGATAGTGCAGAAAGTGTGCTCTACCCTAAGAAGAAACCAAAGCTGTCTAGTGAGAGAGTGTCAGGGCCAGAGGTGGAGGGTAAGGAGTGCGTTTTGTTGGAGTTTGAGTTGATCAGTGGAGAAAACAGAGATCTCTTACACCAAATTGTTCAGTATCTGAAGAACACAACTTTTAGACATTGATACAAAAACAAGGACACACTTTAGATGAAATTGACTCTGTATACATGATAATAGATATAAAAAGAACACAAAATGGTATTGGTTAAACAAAAATGATTGGTGATCACTGAACGGCCTGTTCTAACTGTTGTATAGTTTCGATTGTGTCTATTCGTTGAAGTCCACAATCATGTGACCGTTTTGTCTGGTGATGGGTCCTCCGTTGGGAGTAAAGTCGGAGTCTGAGGAGATCCAGGGAGCTGAAGAGACTGGCCTTGCCTTGTTCCGCCTCGATGGCTCCCTCAGACGAACGTCCGAGGAACCCGGGTTATCGTTGTTGATTGTAATCGAGAAAGGGGCACTCCCACCTGTTGCGGCACTCCGACTTTTGAAGTTGTCCATCACTTTCGATTTCGGTGCCACGCCCACTTCGTGGGATTGGACGACTTGTGGGGCTTCCTCGTCAAATTCGTCCCAACCTTCAACCACCCGTATTGCCTTCCCTTTGCCCTTCCGAGGTCCCGTATTGAAGATGGCGGGAGACGGGGAGCGCATTGGGGAGGGAGTGCGGAGTGGGGTTGAGATAGGCCGCATTGCGGCAGAAGACGTGTAGAACTGAGACACTGGCCGTCTGTGGGCCGCAGTAGCAGGTCTGGAGTTCTCCGGCCTCGGGATGATCTGTACGTAATTGCGGTGACGTCCCGCGGAGCGCGTAACGGTCGTATTTCCGTCCGCGATGTACGGAGTGCCGGGCGCGCTGAGTCCTCCGGGGGGTGTCGTGGGAGAGGCGAGGTACTGTGGCTGCTGGTGGTAATGGTAAAGTACTGGAGTCCCGAGGAGATCCGACGTACCCAGTATTGTCGAACGAACGATTCTGGGGAGGGAGCGCGGACACCACGTACCGCTGCCGCGAACTTGGGTGGTGATGCACGTCTCCGTTACGTTCGTCGATGAGGTAGACGGGCCTGGCCGCTTCGTTTACGTAGTACACAGGTCCGTCGGGCACTGCGGCAGGTATTCGGTGGTGGTAGCGCTCCTGCGGGGACTGAGCGAGCATTCCGTCTTCCGCTAGACTCTGCACCCGTCGCAGACCTCTCTTCTTTTGCTTCTTGTTCTTCTTCCCCGATGGAACGTGCTCGATCATCATCGGGTGGACGACGGCGTGCGAAACCGGCGCCTCGTTCAGCGCGTCCATCGACCGGGAGAGGTGCATGTTTCGCAGCGCCAGCGGGAAATCCGGCGACTCTCCGCCGTATTGTGTGCCGCGCGGAGCCACTCGGAGAAGCTGAATGTTACTTGCAGCCTCTTCCTCCGCTCTTTTGGCCGCCTTCGCAGCGTCCTTCATTGCCTTCTTCTCTCTTCGTCGCCTGAACATCTCTTCTGCAGCAGAAACCTGAACTAACGACGTTGAATCTTTTTCCCGTGAGAAAATGCACAGGGACAAAGCCCGGTCTCGTTATTATAACAACAGCGCGATGCTATGTGCAGGCAGCCCTACGTGGTATGGCCGGAATTGCTCAATAACTTCCAGAGACAGACTTTCGTTGCTCGCCAGGAGCATGTAACGCCCAACAAATATCACTGTAGAACTTCATTGAAATTCCAGCCTAACAGCACTTCAAGGATTTGCCAACACAAAGTTATCAATTCAGAGAAACGATTGAGAAATGAGAATGAAATAAATGACAGGTTTTACTAGCTATAGCTGGCTAGGATGCGCACAGTTGTGCAACAAAATTGTGAGTCAAAGTTAAAAAAACAAAAAAACAGCGACTAAACACAATGGAAACACACAACGGCCACTGAAAGTGTCACAAAGACGGCATCAAGTACTTGGATGAATACAATGAGTGATGGCTCGTATCGTCTCTGAAGCAGCTCTGTGGTACTGAGGCCAAACTCTAACTGCTGTAGAGAGCGTTGCGAAATTCCCGTCCATGATGGACTGGATCTGACCTCGCCGGTCGCGATCAGTGAGACCTATCTGCTGACAGAGGGCGTCGCAGGCCTCGCTGCGGTCTCTCGCCATCCCCTGCACCTTCTGGAGGTGGATCTGTATGGCATGGTAGGAGTGGGTGATGGCCTGTGCGGCATGGAGAACCCTGTTTGCCATGGCCAGAGCATCGTTGAACTCCTGAGGAACAAGTTGCTGGCTCCCAGTTCCCCCACCATCTAGCTCTATCTGGTAGACCCCTCTGCTCTCGGTCAGCTGGAGACGCTGGGTCTCCTGCAGTAGGCTCTTGATGTAGGCAAAACAGGTGCTGAAGTCAGGCACAACTGCCATTCCCTTGCAGCATATGTGCCTGAGGGTGGCTATGGCTCGCTCTAGGTCAACGTATTTCCCTCCGATGCGTCGCAGTAGTGTGTTTGCCTCTTCAAAGACAGGTTCGTCCAACATGTGAATCCCGACTGGTATAAAGAACAGGTGCACCCTCACCAGCTCATGCGGTTTAGGCATCTCTCCGCCGTATTTCTCATTCAGAGATTCAGCAGCTTTTGCTGTGTTTTGGGACGCCTTCTCCACCAGTTTCGACCTCTCTGCCTGGAGCTTGAGGATCTTTCGGTCCAAATCGATAATCTTCTTCACTTCCTTTATGTTCATTTCCACCTCCATGCAGGCCTTGGTGCCGCTATCAGACAGTGGGTCCCCGAGGCTGTCCAGATATTCCCCCGGGGAAGAGCTATCGAGGATCCCCGGCGCCGAACACACGCTCCCCGTTCCGCTATCCCGACTCTTGACGCTGTAAGCGTAGCCCGGGTCCGAGGCCGCTCCGATGGAAGCGCAAGTTGAGCGAGTGTCGAAGGGATCCGAGCGCGTGGAAAACACGCTAGGCGTAGCTGACGGGGGCCTCTCACGTCGAAAAACCTGTTGAAGAGGGACGGACTCGGTCGGGAAGACGGGTTTGGAAGCGCGAACCAGTCCGCCTCTTTCCCCGCCGCCGTTCATTATCAGATGCCCCGTTCTTCCCGAAGGTCGCACGGCCGGGGAGGAAGACGACGAGACGACGCGCATGCTGAGACAATGCTGGAGTCGAGGAGGTTGCTGTTGTTGGCCCAGAGACATCGAATTGCTCCGTTCCAGCTCCGTAGGTATCTGCTGCTGCGCAACCCCCGCCACCGCTCGACGTCTCATCTGCCGTTCCGTTTCGTGCAGACCCGCGTCAAGCGGTCGACTCGGTGAGCCCGCTGCGGACACGGCCACCATCGGTTGGTCTACCTCCATCACCGGCGGAGGTGCAGGCCCTATGATATCTTCCAGCTCTTTGAGATCGAAATCCGCGATGGAGTAGCCCGGGGAAGGCTGCTGCATTCCGTACAACTGTCCGTCGTAGCCGTCGGTCGTTGAGAAATCCGCCACGTCGGGCGTCACGAAATAGCCGTGCATCGTCGTCGCAGGGTCGCAGTCGCTAATGACCGGACTCCCGAACGCCGTCGAAGAGGGAGAATCCACGCTCGCGTAGTGCGAGGACGGCGGCGGGAAATGGATCATCGATTCTTCAACCTGCATCTTCTGTCGTCATCAGCCACAGCCGCGGCTTTTCGTAGGCCTTTACCGCTCACTGCTCGAATAAAACTGGTACGATTTTACGAATAAGTGTGTAAGCGTGTGAAACCTTGCCCAGCTGAAGCTATGGAATATACAGGAAAGGGGGGTGCACAATGGTATTTGAACCGCTTAGCATTAGTTAACGCCAGACGATAGCGAAGACCTTGCACGCACGCAGTCACGGGGCACCGCGCGCTTATTGTGGTGGAGCGCGCAATCAATTACCGTGACTCATAAAGATCATTAGAGCGCCATGGTAACAATTAAAGCCTACATTATGTTCTGTACAGTGAACAGACAGTTGGGTATATTACCAATAGACACGTCACCTTCACCTTCATTACCACACTTTTCTACCACTGGAAAAAAACGGATGTAAGGTATAGTTCAATATGATAGTGATGTCATGTCCTACCATATTATGATCTTGGTAAGGCAGCTCTAACACATCTTCATCACTGTCCATCTATTAGAATTATGCATACACACACACACACACACGAGAGTAATCACATCACAAATTTCATTTTTCATGAACTGTCTGCTAAATTTTGCGAGTCATTCCAATACGACGAGAAGAGAAAGACAATTCGTGTTTTCAACTGAAAAAATATTATAGCAAGAAGGGAAACAAAGAACTCCACTCTCTGAAACAGAGTTTCACGTGTGTATTGTGTGTGTAGCTGTGTGTACCTCCAGTGGGTTCTCCAGGTCCAGTGGTCTGACTGCCAGCAACTGGCCTCGGTCCTCAGAGTTCTCGTGATCCCCTCCTCCTCCTCCTCCTCCCCCTCCTCCTGACTGTAGCTGCTGCTGCAGTAACTCCATACCCTGCAGAGCCTTCTCAAAAGTAGGGTCCTGACTGTATGTGCACATGGGAGACAGGTACACTACATTACATACATAGAGAGCTATAGCATCACATCAGGCTGAACCTTTGGTCCCAATTTTGTGTCTGATTATGAAAAGCAGCATTTGCAGTGCATCGCACTTGCGATCAACATTAAAGGTAAATTGGCAGTATAAGGGCTAAATTTAGAAACCTTGGACAGGGCCTAATTTCACGCCATGACCTTTAACAAAATGTCTGATGTATCCATAGCTCACATGAGTGCTTGGCTGTAGTGTTCCATGGCCTCCTGGTGGCGTTTCAACAGAGTCAGACAGTTGCCCAGCTCTGTGTGCACCAGCGGACAGCTGTGTATATCACTGTGCTTCCTCAACCTACAGAAAACCAACACTGACTCGTGCATACTGAAAGTACTGTATATATATAATACTGACAGTATAAACTACAGAGGAGCAAATTTTTTGCAAGCTGCAAAGTTGTCATTCAATCGATCCTGCCCACAAGAACAATATTATTTTACTTGAACCATGGAAAAAATTTCATCCCCTAAATATTTCTGTTAAAATGGTCTTACAGATCCACGGCGTTCTCCCCAGCTCCTTCTCTGAGGTAGAGTTTGCTGAGCTGAATGACTGCCTGTTGGTAGGACGGGTCTGTTTTTACTGCCTTCTCCAGCAGAACTCGACACTGCAGTTGGAACCAGGGAGGGAGGGAGCCAGAGAGGAGAAGAGGGAGGGAGGAGAAGAGGGAGGGAGGGAAGAGGGAGGGAGGAGAAGAGGGAGGGAGGAGAAGAGGGAGGGAGGAGAAGAGGGAGGGAGGAGAAGAGGGAGGGAGGAGAAGAGGGAGGGAGGAGAAGAGGGAGGAGAGAGGGAGGGAGAAAAGGAAAAGAGGGAAGGGAGGGAGAAGAGGGAGGGAGAAGAAGAGGGAGGGAGAAAAAGAGGGAGGGAGGAGAAGAGGGAGGGAGAAGAAGAGGGAGGGAGGGAAGAGGGAGGGAGAGAAGAAGAGGGAGGGAGGAGAAGAGGGAGGGAGGAGAAGAGGGAGGGAGGAGAAGAGGGAGGGAGGAAAAGAGGGAGGGAGGAGAAGAGGGCGGGAGGAGAAGAGGAACTGAGTTCGTAAAGAAGAGAGAGAGAGAGAGAGAGATGCACCAACCTTGTCAGTGGTAGCTGGTTTCTGAGAGAGGGCGATTCCTTGCAGCTGCACATTTACAAACCGACAGAAGAGAAACAAAGCCTCCAGTACCCCAAAATACACGTCTTATTGCTCACCCCTGCTCTACTAATCACTATTACAGATGCATATTGAGGCGTCAAGTTGTCTTGTTTAAGGTATGTGTATATATGCAGCAAACACTCAAGAATGTGTGTTGTTTGTTCGGGAGAAGTGTGCATGCCAGGAAATGGACGAGGCTAATTGCCTCTCTTCCAGTGCCTCATACCAACCATGGTCAGCTGACGTACACCACAGTACACACACCTCGCTAACTGATTGCAAACAGTCTGCATAACAATGACATTCCTAGCCCTAGTGCGGTCTTCAGTGAATCATTTCTTTACACACACAAACACAAACACATAGTTTCGTACATAGTAGTGGAAGACAGGTCGTCTGATGTGCTGAGAAGCAGCTCTAGCGAGGCTTAGGGCCTCTCTGTCTCTTCGCATGACGAGGTAGCATCTCACGAGAGCTGAGAGGGTTTGGAGATGAGGGAGGAAGAGAAGGATGGAGAGAAAGAAGGAAGAAGGGAGAAGGGTGAAGAGAGAGAGTGTGTACAAACCTTCGTAGGCCTCAGAGAAAGAAGGGTCAATATGAACTGCCTCCTGGTATTTCTGAACAGCAGAGTGTACGTCTTGCTTTGTCCAGAATAGTGAGGCTAGAACGAGACGAAGAGATGAAGAGCCTCAACACAGCACGTGTTGGAATAGTTACCATGACAAAAGGCGGCCTCTGCATTTCTCAAAGAGTACGAATATGCCTAAAAACACACCCACCAAGACAATCACGATCATAATCAAATTAATTCAACCACTAAGCTTACGTTCTCCAGTAAGACACTGGCACGAGACCGTTCCAGAGAGCTGAGGGCCGCGTTCCGTGTCTGATACCAAGCCTTGGCCACCCAGCACTCAGAGTGACTGTCACTGGCATGCCACCAGAGAACTAGACAACCTGTGACACACACACACACACACACTCTCTCTCTTCTCACTATCATGGGGAGATTGTATATAGCTACTGACTTTTCCAGTTTCTTGATGTTTGTGAGGAGTCTGGCGTACGTGTCCATGTGGCCGAGAACATAGGGATCCTGGGCCTGTGCCTGGACGGTATGGGAGAATGAGGGTATGGGGAATGGGCGTATGGGAGTGAAGGGAAGTGTATGGATGAATGGGGGATTAGGAGAAATGTGTGAATGGGGGAATAGGATTTATAGACGAATGGGTGTATGGAGAATTGGAAACAGGTGATTACTGTTGAAAAGAGTTCCATTGCAGCTGCCTTCTTTTCCACTTTAGTCAGACACCACGCCAGCTGGCAGTTGGACTCTGGACCTAGACAGAAACCCTGACACACGGAAGACGGAGGAAGAGGAGAGAAAGAAGAAGAAGGGAGGAAGGGAGGAAGAGAGGGAAGGAAGAGGAGGAGGAGGAGGAGGAGGAGGAGAGAATAGTTCATTTCCCAAACCATAGGTGTCCCTCTCTGGGGGTAAGGGTTTCAAGAATGTTCTCCAAAATGTGAGCCGCAGCGAAAAGTGAAACCGCATTTTCATGCACGTACACACAACAAGTGTGAGCTGCGACACACATACACAGAGAGAGAGCTAGTGAAACGGAATGTGGAGGGAGGGACTGAAAGATGGGGAGAGCGGTATTGGGGGAGGAGAAATGGCAAAAGCCACAGCTGTGGGGAAAATAGGAAGTGGGATTGAGGTCTCACTTTGCAGTTGGACTGGGGGTACTCATTATAAACAGAGTCAACTTAACAAAAAATTATCATTAAGCAGTAAATATGTTGTGTTGCTATAGTAGCGGAACCTCTGTATATAGGACACACTAGAACCATGATATAATCAGATAGGCTCATTTCTTGTCGATTCATTAATTTGCTAGTAATGTCAGTTGAGTGTTGAGGTAAGTTTATAAGGCGACATGTTTTGAACGTTTCGGAGTTTGGAATTTCCACCACATAATTGAAGCCTGCTATAACCCCAT